TGTATGGTTGGTCCGAAATTATCTTTGGTTGCGATTTTTTCTACGCCCATGAGAACGGTTTTTAAGAACAGTTTAAGAAACTATATCCAAAATGTTAACAGAATCGGTTCTTGATATATTACCAATTCCCGTGATATTATCATTAAGACCGAGAGGGTAGACTAGTAGTGTCAATAGGCCGATTCTGCGGCACTTTCCATTTTAAGCACAAATTCAGCATAGGAACCCCAACCCCAAACATAAAATGCAAACGCAATACGTTTCAATTAGCCTAAGGGTAAAAACAAGAATGTCTTTCAGTTTAGCACAAAACCCAAACACCTAAGAAAGATGGAGTTCTAGGGTAAATACAAATATGTCTTTTACACAAAACCCAAACACCTTAGAAGGATGTAATCCTAGGGTAGAAACAAAATATGGCTTTCGTACAAAAGATGGAGGAACTCAGAAGTCCACAAATCGTAGACAACGATTTTATGAACGATAATGTTTTCGAGGAAAAGGCAAAGGATCAGAGCCTGGAAACCCTGAAATGGAAGGAACTCTCAACCGGTGTGATCTATAAAATCCTGGAAGTGGTGGAAGTAGATGGTAAGTTTGGAAAGAGTAAGATCCTCACCTTGAAAAACAGAGAAGGAGAAACGAATAGGGTGTGGGCCTGCAGTGGACTGAACAGAGAGACAGGACCCATGGTAGGAGCCTTCGTGAGAAGTACAGGCTTTAAAGTCAGCAAAAAGACCAAGCAGGAGTACTTCTCTTACGACCTTGTGAGAAATTAAGTCCAAAAAAAAAAATAATGGGCCGGGTGGGGTACAAAAAATTTTTCCGATCCAACATTTCTGCCGGATTGGAAAAGTTTTTTTATGCTTGAAACGGAGCACATCATGAAGTGAAGCGGAATGGAGCACATCGTGAAACGATGTGTGGAGTGAAGTGTAACGGAATGATGTGTGACGTTTTTTACGGCGCATGCGCATTAAGGTCCTCACTAAAAGTGGTGGAAGGTTGTCGGAGCTTATCTTTTTCATCGTAGTAGTTTTTGAGGCAGGTGGTGATTTTCCCAAACTCAGCATCATCAATTTGTTCATCATCAGCCAAAGCAGTACTAATACATTGTTCAACCAAAAATTTTGTGGACTGTGCCAATTGCAAGGTGTCGCGGTGTTTTTTCTTCTTTTTCATGATACGCCTTGAGATTAGTGTGAGTACCATCACGCCAGTGGCACTCAAGCACGCAAGGGATCCTAGGGGAAGGGAGGCTATAATACCTATACCGGTCAAAGCTGAACCCATGGTGCAGCTGGTTAACACCAAACTGCCCACAGAACAAACACCCAGTGCTACAGATACAACTTTGTCCAGACGTTTGTAGATCTTCAAGGTATGTTGATACTTATGTATATCCGCGTTGAGTTGATCTTCCATACATTCGACTCTGGTCTGTCGGTATCCAGAATCTAAATCATCCATTTATTTATAGGAGCATACCGAGGAGGGGAATATTTTTGAAGGGGCTGTTAGCACCTAAGATCAGACCAGCTCCGTCGTGGAATTGCTGACCACGCTTCAAGTAGAGTCCATCACCATAGGTGATCCGGGCGTTTGAAGGTTTGAGGTAGAGACCGTTGCCACTAGGTTTCACGGTGCAAACGCATCCACCACGTTTCAGGTACAATCCAGACCCTAAGGCCTTGTTGACGGCTACACCACCAAGACCACTCAAGGCTCCAACACCCAAGGCGGGTAGAATGGTTTTTGCTAACATGGGGAGTGCCCTCATTGCCAGCCCCGCCAACATGGGTAGGAAGCCACCCACCTTCTGCATGTTTTCCTTCAATTGGGTCGCACTCAACTCTAGGACCATAACACCAGTACCCTTTTGTAGGAGCTTGGCGATCTTTTGAACCTGGCGGGTGGTGAGCCACATCTTGTGTTCGCCTTGCAGGTTTGCGTGGGACAAACGAATGGAGACCGGACAACCTTTCTTAGCCGCCCGTTGTAGTTTATCAGCTTGACCTTTTGTCAAACTCAAACCATGTTCGTGATTAGTCATTTATTTATACCTCACGAAGATGAAAGCGGATGGTGAGATGTTCACCCCTGAAATCGATGGGCCTACCATCTTGATCGGTGAGATACGTTTGCATGCGATTGATGGTTCGCAAGGTCACCGGCAAGTATACTAGATTCTTTGGGGTTTGAATGATCTTCATACCAGGACCGTCTGCGGGAAAGAAGCTGTAGATGGTAGACTGCTGTGTACCATTCACATAACTTCCATGGATGATATCACTATTCACCAGAATGCTGTTGATGCTGATGATATTTACAATATGTTCCCCTTCCGTATAGCCGTTTGTGATCATATCGAATGTGTAAATCTGCCGCTCGAATCCCAAGACGGCGTTGATGCTATTGACAACGTTGAAGTCTACTTGATAGTGTCTGGCGAGGGTCAGCGTTGCTCTTAGGGTCGCCCGGTTGGCATCGATGATGATCTTCGTTTTGTGTTTGTTGAGCCGTAGCCGCCGCTGGATCTCATTGTTGATGTCTTCGATGTCATAGGAACCTGTGCTTAGTTCGATGGGAAACCAGTTGGCACCATCGTCGGGGGAGTAGCGGAAGGAATTGTTACCTGCGTGAATGTTGGGGATGGAGTTATAGGTTTCCAGGTTTACCAATGCCATCTCGTAGGCCTTGGATTCCTTGAGTTGTAGTGGGGGGTTGAATCGGGTAAGGATTTGTATATCGTTTCCAGAGACGATGAAGGAAAACCCATGCTTTGGGTCGGTGTTATTAGCAATTTGCTGCAACAATGTGTTATCCATTTATTTATGGTAGACCATTGTCACATATTTTTGCTTCCACTCTTCGATACCGTCATACTGCTCCTTGAGCTGTTTTCCAGCTTTCACCACGATTGCGTAGACCTCGGCGGGACGACTGGCAAAGAGGAGTTTTAGGTGAATTTTATCCATTTACTTTTAGTACACAACGTTCATCTTCTGACCGTCGGATTCAAACTGTAGGATTCTGTCGGAAATGACAAGTGCAAACGCTTCGGTGTTGGCTGGAACATTACGGGCGAATTCGGCTCTGATCTGAATATCCACCGTGGATTCTTTGAGACGCTCAGACTGATGACTCACATCAATCACAAACAAGGGATACAAGTCGATGAAATCGGAGGGATTAATCCCACCATTACTGAGGAGACTGTCCATGTTATGGAATTTCTTTCTGAAGTCGGAGGCCTCTTTGAACACTCTGGCGATCCTATTTTCGTTGAAAGCTGCATTATAGTCGACTGCTGGATAACGTTCAGCGTTGAGGGTGACATGGATATTTCGCAATCGACAGTGATCGAACACGGCAGCATTATGGGTTTGATCACCACTTCTGTTAGTTTGGAAGGCAACGATGATATATCTAGGCTTTTCGCGACCACTCTTGGCAGCTAGACGCCAGTTAAACTGTGAGGCTTGGGGAACGGCTATGGAATCACACTGTCTCATGCGAAATCCACAGTGGATCTTGGATTTACTTTGGATGGTTTTGTACAGTTGCATCTTATTTTCGTCTGAGGGGGTGATGTGAGGGACGAACCACGATAGTTTACTCAGGACGATCTTTGCCGGATCGTTGACGGCAGCTGCTCTCAAAATGGCATTAGCATTTGAATCGCGAACGAGTGAGAGTTCGTGTCTGAACCCGTACACTATTTTGTTGTAATCATCTGCGAATCCAAAAATATGTTTTAGGGGGATGGCAAACGAAAACGATCATTTGTTGGTGGGCTTGGTGATAATGTATCCATGGCGGGCTGTAAATCCAGTGTTCTCAGCCTCAGCATCGGCGGAAGAATCCTTATACCACAGTTGGTTGAGACCCTGCGATTTGGAGAAGTCGTCGGGGTAGGTTAACATTCCCAGCATAGTGGTGGCAATGCCGGGGTCGTTAATATGTTCGATCTGCTGACCGGAAAGCCTGTAACTGATGCTCTTGAAGAGATACATGATACCATTATGGGTGAGCGACACAAGATCGCCATCGGCATATGCTGTGTCATCATTCTTGAGAAGTCGACCTTCTACCACGAGATAACTTTCGGCGGGGTGTAGGAACAAATCCTGGGTTTCGATGTTGATTCGGATTTCAGCACCGGGATTGTTCAGCTGGGCACCGGCTTGTGGTTCGTATTCTCGAACCTGATATTCCTGGAGACTTTCGTCGAAGGTCAACCCTTCGGTGATTGTAAGAATGTTAGACATAATGTATTTATTTATAGCGTTAGACGAAGTCGTGGATGGTTTTGATACCAGAGCCGGAGATTAGATTGTTTAACCGAACTTGCTCTGGCTTCTTGCGTTGAACACTAGGCTGTTGAGGGGTTTTAATACGTTTCCTGGGGCGGGTCACTTTATCAACCACATGGTCGACGGCTTTGGAAGCCCCTTTTTCAACACCTTTCAAGGCTGCATTGGTGGCAGCGTTCATGGCCTTACTTCCTAGGGTTTGGGCGGCAGAGGAAGTAAACATGCGTCCAGCCAAACTGGCGATTGTGTCAAACAGTCCTTTACCACCGTAGGCGTACTTTCGAGCGTAACCTTTCTTGATTTGCAACATTTATTTATAGGATGCTACGATGCAGTGCCTTATATTCCTCGATGCTGATATGTCTACCCCTTTTCATAGCATCGATAATCGACACAATTTCGTTGCGCACACCATTGTTTCCTGCTCGGTATGCTGCAGCACACAGTTCCAAGCGATCGAGAAGCTGCTTGAAGTTGGAAGGAAGAAACACGGTTTGCAGCCCACTGCAAAACTTATCCTTCTTATAGATGTGGGATACGATTTCCTTCCACTTGTAACTCTTATTCGCCTTCGGGGTTCTCGAGAGGGTGGAATTGCCTTGATACATGGCACCGGAACTTTTCAGGATCTCTGCATAGTCGTAAAGGTCGTCGGGCTCAAACGATTCTGGTTTCTTTTTCACCATGAGTTCCCAGAGGCCAAGGGTTCCTTTGTATCTCACACCATCTACGAAAATATCATCATCGTTAAAAGTAACTGGCGAGCTTCCGATGAAGATACCATCGTTTTCAGATCGCAATAAAGTAGGAAGTGGAGGAAGAGCTGGACGGAGACACGGGGGAAGAGGATGGAGTGGTGGAGGAGGAGACGGAGGCGGAGGCGGATGGGGTGGTGGAGGAGGAGACGGAGGAGGAGGAGGTGGTGGTGGAGGAGGAGACGGAGGCGGAGGAGGAGGAGGGGGTTGTTAATTGGATGAGATGTAAATGTGTTTATGCATAGACAAACAGCAACAAAAGCAGAAAAGACATTAATAATTCAAAATATTAATTTTAATTATTGACTTAATATCCTTTGTATTTAAAAATTCTTAATCGACTAGATTCGTGATAAAATTAAAATAAAATCGTGGCAGAGTTTTTCAACTTTTTGCCGGAGAAAGAATTGACATTTGCAGCAATAAATGAATGAATGAACGATTAAAAAGAAGTTTTCATTATAATATCGATCACTCCAGAATTAGTGTATTCATGTACGTTAAAAACCTAATAAAATATTGTTTTTATTTTATACTCATTTTTGATAACATTCTCGGTTCAGGACAACCAATTGTCTTCCGTCAACTTTCAGCTCAAAATTCATTTTTAAACGTGACTTTTACTTGTAAACTGAATTTGCCTATTTTTTTTGTTTATTCTTAAAATTTATCATTTTTATCATTGTATTGAAACATATGGTCATAAAGTTAATATTGAGTATAAGTTATTACGAATTTTATGTTCGTTCATCCCACCTCTAAGAAATGTAATTATAACAAACTGCAATATTTTGTTTTTGACATCTAAAGTATTGTCTGCTAATTTCATTTTCTTATGTCAATTGTGGTCAACTTATTTTGAAAAAAAATGATAAAATGAAAGAAAAAAGTGTCAATATATTCCTGAAAATATGCAGTTAGTTGTTGCATTCAATTGATCAAGGTGAGCAGACTCATTTATCTTATAGTTCACTATACACACAAAAGTAAAAATGTCTTATCTTATCTTACAGTCATTGATTACCCGTTTTACAGATGACAACAGAAATGTTTCAATCGTGGTATCTCCAATCCTGTCCACTTTTCTCTTTTCCCCACCGAATAAATTTTATCACCGGGTTTGCACTATTATGAGCATCACGACGAGTGCCACATGTGGAGCAGGATATTCTTACCCTTGCGGAGCTCATGAGATCAGTCCCAGATTTTGCACAGCCCTGTTCTTGGTTTTTTATGTTGTGTTTTGTGTACTGCTGTTTGTCTTTTTTGTTTTTATCCTTGGCGTTGTCGGTTTATTTTCGACTTATGAGTTTGAATGTCCCTTTAATATCCCTAGACTCTCTTTTATCTTCTATAATATTTTTATTTGTAATTATTGTTTGATATTATTTACCTTCGACCTTTCGGGGTTTACGTATACATAAACTTTACAAAGAAGCATGCATGACTAGAACAAATGTTAGTAAATGGTAAATGGCGCATTACAATAATTGATCACAAATAATTTTTTGCTTCGTCATATAAAGGGACATAACTTAAACTTTTATCAAAAAATATGTAGTGAATTTATTTTTAAAAAAAATTGTAGCACGAAAACGAGTCCCGTGACCCTAATTTCTCTTGATGTATTTTACACGCAAATTGTAAGAGCTATCTTCCCTGCTCATATTTTATCTATCCATTTATTTTATAAAGGTATCCTATTGCTTACTTTTTATCATATAAATTGGCTTTTTATGTATTATTTTTTATATGAAATCAAACAATTTTGCTTAAACTTTAGCTTGTAAAATCCCCTTGACACATACTTTAATATTGATTCACTTATAGAGTCTGTGCATCGGAAATAACATATGTATTCTAAAACCAGTTGTTGGAATGATACGGGCTATGTTCTTCTCACATATTTTATGATTATATGATACTAAACACCTTACGGGAGGGAGTGTGCTTGAGATACATATTATGAAGACATAATCTTTCAATCAGTTTAATTGAGGTCTGGAGCTGGCATGTCAGTAACTGCTAGTAGTCCTCTGTTAATTTATGTATCATTGTCATTTTGCTTAGTTTCTTTTGTTACCTATTCTGACATCGGATTCGGACTTCTTTTAAACTGAGTTTTACTGTGCGTATTGCTATGTGTTTCTTTATTCTACATTGGCTAGAGGTATAGGGGGAGGATCGAGATCTAAACAAACACGTTTAATCCGGCTGCATTTTTTAGCCTGTTCCATGTCAGGAGCCTCTGGCCTTTGTTAGTATTGTATGATTTTTGATTTTGGTTTCTTATGTATATTTCGCAGTTTAGTATAACGTACATTATCACTGAACTAGTGGACATTTTTGTTTAGGGACCAGCTGAAGCACGCCTCTGTGTGTTCGATATTCTCGCTGTATTGAAGTCCTTTTGTTGGCCTTCGTCTGTTTTCTGCTTTTTGGTCTGGTTGTTGACTCTTTGACAAAATTCCCATTTCCATTCTCAATTTTATGATATAAACACAATAAACATAATTTTGGCAAGTTATTAAAAAATGTATCGATCATGTCTTTATCGTTCAGAATCAATCAACAGCAAATTTACAAAGTCAAAATATAAAATTGAATACTAGTACAATTTCTGGTTATTTTTTTCTGTGTTTCTATCTTTTTTTAAAATATATTATATAATTATAATAACAGCAGAACCTTACAATTAGGTCTAAAAAAACATTTATGGTTACCACCAAAGTTATAAATGATGGACTAACGGGAGGGATTATGCTTGATTTTGATATGACGAAGACATACTCTTTCAATCAGTTTAATTGGGGTCTTGTGCTGACATGTTAATAACTGCTTGTAGTTCTTTGTTAATTTGTGTATTGTTGTCATTTTACTTAGCTTCTATCTGTTATGTATTTTCGCAACGATCTCGTACTATTTTTAACTGAGTTTTACTGCGCGTAATGATGTAGGTTTGTTTGTTCTATATTTGCTAGAGATAAAGGGGAGGGTTGAGATTTCACAAAACATGTTTCGCTCTGTGGGATTTTTTGTGCCTGTCCAAAGTCTTTTTTAGACCTGTATGTTTTTGGTTTGTTTTGTTTAATTTTAGTTCATGTATATGTTTTGGAGTTAAGTGTGACGTCCATTTTTGCTGAGCAAGCACACATTTTTGGTAAGGGGCCTGCTGAAACCCACCTCCGAATGCGGAATTTTCTCACTGTGTAAAAGACCCAGTTCTTGTCTTTTTGATACCTTCCCCGTTATTCTCAATTTTGTTCTTTCGTAAAGATTCAAGATCTAGAATAGGAAATATGGACATATCATTTTTTTTGTTTTATGAACATCAATCAGACTGAAATTGGTGCCAACAACTAGATGTTCCACATCCAATTCATATTTGCTGAAGAGGTTATACTTCTAGTATTGCTTTGTTAATAATGAGGAAATGGTATAAGGAAACTAAATAATGTTTTATATCACTAAAAACCAGTAAAAGTCTGAAATGGCCAATATCTATAATCGACTGTATTGAGTTACACTCGACCAGTCTGAATTGGTCTGAATTTTACTCGACATTACTCGACCCCAGTCTGAAAAAGTCTTAACCCATTCTCGACCTGTACTAGACTATTTTTTAGTCTAACAAGTAAAATCACAAAAATACTGAACTCCGAGGAAAATTCAAAAAGAAAGTCCCTAATCAAATGGCAAAATCAAAAACTCACACACATCAAACGAATGAATAACAACTGTCATATTCCTGACTTGGTACAGGCATTTTCTTATGTAGAAAATGGTGGATTAAACCTGCTTTTATAACTAGCTAAACCTCTCACTTGTATGCAATCGCATCAAATTCCATTATATTGACAACGGTATGTGAACAAAATAAACAGACTTAATAGGTGAAAATTAAGACAAACATAACTAAATCAGCTGATAAGTTGTAAATAAAAGTTAATTATGGAACGCCGGAACTGTCTTATAGTGTAAATATTTAATGTGTTTTGTCACTTTGCCTTTACGTCCTGTCATTTCTTCTTTATGTTATGTGCATGTGTCTTTATTTCCTGACACTCCATCTCTGTGTTATGTCAAATTTATTATTTGTTTGGTCAAACAATTGTATGATATGTCATTGCTAAACTTTGTTGCGTGCAATAGACATTACATTTTGCTGTAACTACTATATATTCTGTGAATACATCCAAACTGTATGATCAACCACCTTTACATTCTTTCATATTTTCTCTATGTTGTGACCATTCCTCCGTTACGTAAGTCAGTTAATAATTGCGTCCTGTCTCAAATGTGATTGTTATGCTGAATGTTCTAAACGTTTTGTTTTGATATATCTTTGTTCTATGAAAACCTCATGATATTATAGTCTAATGGCTTTATGTTGTGTTTATACATATGTATCTCCCGTGAAAAACATAATACATCATGGTATAGTTCATATGCGTTTTGCCGGACACTTGATACTCTCAGTTAGCATTCATTACGTCATGTGAACATGCCGTTTACATTATGTTCAAACACCTAATACATTATGTGCAAACACTTATAACGTTATGTGCAAATAACTTATACGTTTTGTGCAAACATCGTTTACGTTATGTGCAAACACCTAGTAGAGATTTCCAATAAAATGACATACGTACCTTACTCGACGTACGCACGTAACGGGACCGGTTATTGCTAACCTATTAATTTTGTTAAATGCGCCATTCAAGTTTTAACTAAGTATTCCTAAACTATAAAACCCATTCAGGATAAATTTTATCAATATCAAGTATTTCTAAGATGATGAAAAACGAAAGAAATCATGATTTTTATATATCACGTGATTATTGAGATTCCCGCCAAAACTTCACTGTCATAAGACCACGTATATACACGTATCTTTACCTATCATACGATTGATTTGAATTGTCTTTCATGGTTTTGACCATGACTTTGTTTTTCGATATACTTTGCAAATGAATCTTTTATTATTTATTATTTGACATGCTTTTATTTGTCGTTATCAGATTTGTGTCCCTTTTTCCTTTCGTCTCTTAATGTTTTATAATATTTAATTTCCTTGGGTATTTATTATATGACAGAGATTTTTCTAGTAATTTCAGAAATATCGAATTCAAAGTGTTAGTCAGAATTTGTCTCTGTTAAAGTTGATAACTGGGATTGCATCATACTTTATTAAGCATCATTTCAAACGATCTC